GGGGTCCAAAGAGGATAAGGCCCAGGCCCAGAGTACTTGCCCCCCCCCCCCCCCCCCCCCCCCGCTGCCACAACCCCAACACCACCCCCGCGGGCGGAAGAACTGGCCCCTTTCCCCCCCCCCCCCCCCAGGATTAGGTACTGGTACCCTGAGAGCACTGGGCAGGGTTGAGACCTGGGCTCTGCCCCTCCCCTTCTCACAGAGTCCAGTGTTTCCTCCACCTCCCCACCCCCCTGCTCCTGCTCAGGAACTGCCCAATTTCCTCTGCCTTTCACCTCTCACCGTCCTTACCTCCCCCATGCCAGCCAGCAGGCAGGAAGGCAGTCATGCAGGCAGAAGAGTTACTGTCCCCCTCCTTTTGTGGGACCAGTCAACACATCCCAAAACCCCACAAGCAGCACCCTCCAGGTGAGGGAACTTAGGATGGGCTGCGATGGGCAGGGTTAGAACCTGTGACCCTCGATCCAGTGCTCTTCATCCACTCAACATCCTGTAGAGCATTCACAGTAATCTCCGCTGCACCACTATTCCTGAGGGTCTCACCTCCCGCCCAGAAGGTGGTACTGATCTGCTTTGAGTCCTGAACTACCTGGAGCTGGGAGTTTGGCCCTGGGTTTTAGTAAAGCAGCGTGGCTGGGAAGCAAGTCTGCTCACTGCCTGAGATTCAGCCCTCTCTGCTTCTTGCTAGTTGTGGAGTCCTGGACAAGTTACTTATCCATCCTGTGACTGGATTTCTGTGTCCATAGAATGGATGACAGTTGATTTCCTGACTTAATAGGTGTTAAGTGCTTAGAACAGACCCCATCTCCCAAGCGAGCTCAGTAACAACTAGTCCTGTTTGGGGTATATGGACAGTAGGAACTCAAAAGTGGTTTAAACCAAGGCCATGACTGTCACCTTTGCTACCCTCCCAAGAGGAAGTTACAACTGACCTGTCCCCAGCCCACAGGGAGCTGGAGAGGCAGCCTTGCCCCCTCTGCTGAGTGGTGCAAACTAGGGGTGGTCTAGGGGTTGGGGGTGCTACACAGGACCCAGCATGGAGGGCAGGGGAAGCCAGTTTTATTGAACAAATTTCCCAGCACCTGGGGCTTAGGTCTCCCCTGCCTAGGAGGTAGGACCCCCTAAACCTTCTTCCCCAAGTCCTAGGATCACCTGTCCCACCACCTGTAGTCTCCAGCAAGGAAAGGACCCTTATTTGGCAAGAGATGAATGTGTGAGTGACTGTCCACCAACAGGGAAAGGGCAGATGGCTGAAGGGAATGGGCCGCTGCAGGCCGCATCTCTCCTGTCAGCTGAGGACAGGACCTCCAGAGCCAGGCCTTCCTGCCCGCAGGCAATGGCCAACCTGGGCCTGCCCTGGCATCACAGCTTCTGTTGAGGGCTCGGGGTGGGGATGGCTAGGCTGCCAGTCTGGGGCGAGATCACTCAATCTCCAGGATGAGGTCGTCGCCTTCCAGTGTCATGTCCTTGGTCACGTGGACCTTGCGGATAGTGCCGTCCATGGGTGAGGTCACCACAGTCTCCATCTTCATGGCACTGAGCACACACAGGGGCTGGCCCTTGGCCACCTTGGCTCCTGCCGCCACCTTGATGTCTATCACCTTCCCAGGCATGGGTGCCCCAATCTGGCCCTTCACATCCTTCAGGGCCTTGGGGTGGAAGTGCATCTCCTGCAGAAAGGGCAGAGTGGTCACGAGACACCAGGCCCGGCCTACCCCCACCACTTGGCTGGCCCTGGGGGAGCCGCACCTTCATGGCCTGGGTGTCCTTGACCAGGATGGACCGCAGCTGTCCATTGAGCTCAAAGAAAACTTGCCTCTGGCCCGCCCGGTTCAGGTCACTCACAGCAAGGGCTTTGATGTGCAGTGTCTTGCCACGCTCCAGCTCCACCTGCAGGGATGGGGTGGAGGCTCAGAGCTGAGGGGCAAGTTGAGGAGAGCAGTCCCCTGACCCTGGGTCTCAGCTCCTCACTTGTAAAGGCCTAGCTCCCGGTCTCTCAAAGGTCCTTTCTGCTCCCAAAGCTTGCAAGGCCGGGTGACAGCCAAGCCAAGGTCTGGAGCTCTAGGGCAGGGGTGCTGGAGTCCTTAGGGATGGCAGGGGCAGGGGTGCTGGGTGGAGTGTTGACAAGCATCAGAACCACTGACCTCAAACTCCTCTGCAATTTTGGGGCCCTGCAGGAAGAGGCGGGTATTGAGGCTATCCAGGGGGCCAAAGGTGGCAGTGAAGTCCTTGAAGTGGGAAAAGACGTCGGGGTACATGGCTGCTGAGAGCACATCCTCTGGGGTCACCTCCTCCCCATGCCGCTCCATCAGCTCCTTCTCCAGCCCCTGCAGGTCTAGTGGAGCAAGGGAGGCTCCAGGCCGCCCCTCCACCCTTGGCAGGTCCTTTAGCACCTGGGAGGCAAAGCAGAGGGTCAAGCTTAATTCCTGCACCCAAGCCCCACCCTCACATCATGCTGGGTCTTCCTTACCTTAGAGCGAAGGGGCTCAGGGAACCCGCCGTGGGGGACACCAATGTAACCCTGCAGGAACTCCACCACAGAGCGGGGGAAGGACAGCTCTTCTGCCTGAGCTTCGGCTTCGGCCCGGCTCAACCCATTTTGCACCATGAACTGGGCCAGGTCCCCCACAATCTTGGAGGAGGGTGTCACCTGAGGAGAAGGGCCCCTGGATGTTAGGGTGCCAGGCACCTTATGGAGGCCCAGAGGTGGTTTGTAGGGCTGTGCTCCAGGTAAGAGCATTGATCCGGGCTCACCTTGATAAGGTCACCCAGCATCTGGTTGGCCTCCACGTAGGCCTTCTTGACCTCCTTGAACTTGGAGCCAAGCCCCATGCTGTGGGCCTGGAAGTGCAGGTTGGTGTACTGGCCCCCTGGGATCTCATTCTCATACACATCTGAGTTGCCAGACTTCATGGTGGCTGTACAGTCAAAGGCCGCGTACAGGCCCCGAGCCCCCTCCCAGTACTCACTGTAGTCAAACACGCGCTCCAGAGGCACTTCTGCAGAGAGGCCAGAGTCAGAGGAAGGCTCAGAAATGTGCTAGGCTCCTCCCTGGACCCAGGGCCAGCTCAGGACGCATCTTGGACTTGGGTGATAGAAGGTGGCAAAGCTAGGGTAGGGCATCTGGATTCTAAGTATGACACAGTCTACTGGGACTGGTGGCAGCTGTGGCCTTGAGAGGGGCATGGCCATGGTCTGCTTCTCTGCCTACCTGTGTCCAGAGGACTTCCTCTGGTACAGGCCACCAGGGCCCCCATACTGGGCTGCGAAGTCATCCCAGACATGGAGTCAGCTGCCACGTCCACCACATCAGCACCAGCCTGAGCACAGGCCAGCATGGCTGCCACGCCTGCCCCAGATGTGTCGTGCGTATGGATGTGCAGTGGGAGGTTGGGGAAGCGGTCCCGGAGGGAGCTGACCAGCATGGTGCAGGCTGCTGGCTTCAGCAGCCCTGCCATGTCCTGAGGGACGGGGGAGGAGAGAGAGAGGGTAGGTCAGGAGGGGCAAAGCATGTGTCTGTGGGCAGAGAGGGAGGACCGCAAGGAGCCCAGGCACCTTGATGCACAGGATGTGGGTACCGGCTCGCACCAGCTCTTCAGCCAAGTCCATGTAGTACTGCAGCGAGTATTTGGTGCGGCTGGGGTCGGCCACGTCACCTGTGTAGGAAATGGCAGCCTCCACCACACCTCCGGCACTGCCTGCTGCCTCCATGCCCAGCAGCATGTTGGGCAAGTAGTTGAGGGAGTCAAAGATCCGGAAGATGTCCATGCCGTTCTCTTTGGCCACCTCACAGAACCTGAGTGGGTGGGGGAGCCCAGGGGTAAGCCCTACCCTACACCCCCCTGCACATTCTCTGCAGCTTCTGGCCCACCCTACTTCCCTGG